AAAACGCTGGCACGATTTAATTAAACGCAAATGAACTATATAGTACCGAGGCTTGCGAGGGGAAAATAAAACCGCTGGAGTGACAGGGGGAAAGTCGGGTACCCACCCGCACCGCGAGGCTGGAGGACAAGGGCGAAGTTTTAATGCGACCCGCCTGGTGTGATGCATGGCAACGCCAAGGCAACGCTCAGCGGGCCGTTACGGGGCAAGGGCGGTCGGGATGGCCAACGCACACTTAATGTTGTGTACAATTTTGTACTCGATTAAAACATTTCGAAGTATTTTCAGCATGTGAAAGATTCATACTATTCAGTTTGTTATTCGAAGAAGTAGTTTGTTAATTAATAAGTATTTTCTTTGCAGATCAAGCTACTTTTGTTTGTAAAACCCATAGTTTGTAAGGTTTGCAGAGTTAAACGAGACGGTGCAGTTTTTTGTCTGAGTGAACTTTTCGCATACCGTTTTCGTTACGAAAACCTAGACACCCAGTTGTGTGAAGAATCGAGTGCAAATTTGTACAAAATGTTCATCTCCACAAAAAAAGAAACTGTCAAGCCTATTCATTTGCACGAAAACATTTAATGTACGCCCTCGCTGCAGCTTCGAGAATGACGCCTTGATCTCGCCTGGGTCAGCTTCGGCGAATGCACTGTGACGGATCGTAGAGTAAGATAATTCCTCACGTCGTGAGATATTTCTTTCAGGGAACGATCACAATTGTAAGGCGAAGGCGGTGCAATACAAACACAGACACACTGGTAGAACTACACGGTGAAAACGGTGCCTGGTTTCCCCAGGAACTCCTTGGAAATCGCCTATGTCTCTGCCATAGGCTTCCTAGGAAAACCAGGCACCGTTTTTACCGTGTAAAGCGTAGTATTACCCCGTTTTCAAGCGTAATCTGTTTAGGCGTTAACGCTTGAAATCAAGCGTAACAGGTTCATCCGCCAAATTTCCCCCTATCTAAATGCACTCTCCGACACTCTACGGACATTTTTTTCAGTAAACCTACAGTTAAATTATTTTTTCTGCAATTGTAGTCCTTTTGATTGGAAGTACAGAAAAAATAATCAGCAACCTTACAGAAAAGTGGTCTGTTGATAATATTATCTGCAACTACAGTTATGATCACTACAAATCCAAAGGTCAGACTTCTCGCCACTCCAGAGGCAACACTGTGGCAAAAAGCTACAGAAAATTCTGTAAACAGCTTGTGGTAATTCTCCGTAGCCCCCTTATCAATATTCTCCGTAGGCTCTTACAGTATTTTCCGTAGGACCGCACAGTATTCTCCGTAAGACCTTACAGTGATCTCCGTAGGACTATACAGTCTTCCAGGTCCTACGGAGAAGACTGTGCGGACTTACAGAGAATACTGTACGGCCCTACGGAGAATACTGTAAGAGCCTACGGAGAATATTGATAAGAGGGCTACGGAGAATCCTGGCAAAAAAATTAACAGAATTTTCCGTACCTTTTTGCCACAGTGAAGACATAAAAGTCTCGCCATATTTTGGCGTGAAGTCTTTCCATCCAAATTGCAGTGATATATCAAGCAGAAAAAAATTACCGTTGCATTCTAGTAAAAATGATCTATAAATGTAGACAAAATGTTCTCTAGATACAGATAATATATACAAGAATTAACAGAAAAGATTTTAAAGAGTCAGAATAATTTTTTGGATGTTTCCGCTAAAAGTCACAACTCAACCATCTTTTTAAAGCCGCTTATATTGAGTCCTTTCTTGACTTGTCGAAGCTAAGAATGTTTTGTAGGATCATTTTGACTAAGCGCATTACCTACCAATCACCTTTGTTTGAACGGAGAAAAATTTCACTGAAAATATCTTCTGAAGATCACAAACAAGTCATCGACAAATTATTTATGAGGACAAACTTTATCTCCTACATTTGCAGAAAATAAATTCTTTGATTATAAACAAATTTGTCATCATATTTCTACTGACATTGTAAATTTTCTGTAAGTAAGTAAAAGATTGTCTATAATTACCAAATATGTTACCGCTAATTTATCTGTATCTCATGTAAAATTTAGTCGATATGTTATTGAAAGTATACACTATATCATAGTAACGCTCTAAAATCACTAAGCCGTAGAGTAAATTTTCTGCAGTATAGAAAAAATAATCAGTTAAGGTCTGAGAGTGTGCATAGGGTAATTTCCGGCCTATGCTCGCTGCAAATGCAACGGTGATACTATAGCACATTTTTTGGCGATACAATTGAGTATCGCCAATTAACGGCCTTACGGAAAAGTATTGCCTTTAGAACGGTGATACAAAACAGTATCGCCAAAATTTGGCAATACTTTTTGATATTGCCGAAACCACGGCATTAAACCAAGGTCTTCTCCCCTTGATTTGTTCGACGTTTATTGCCAAATCGTGGCAGTACTCCAAAGTATCGCCAAATTTTGGCGATACTTTTGTGTATCGCCGTTTTGAAGGCAATACTTTTCCGTAAGGCCGTTCATTGGCCATACTCAATTGTATCGCCAAAAAAGGTACCAAAGTATTGCCATTGGATTTACAGTGCTTCATTTCAAGCGTAATGTCTTCTACACTGTGCGAAAAAAACACAGTGAATCCCGTTAATTTTTTTGCCGGGATTTACTGTAGTTCAGAACACAGGATTTACCGTGCCTGGCTACAGTATCTACTGTACCTGGTACAGGATATTCCGTACTCCACTCCTGTGGTAAAGTAAATCCCGTACAAAGTACAGTAGATCCTGTTATAAAAGTACAGTAAATCCTGTACTCTGAACTACAGTGACAGCTGTACTAATCACTACAGGATTTGCTGTGATTTTTTCCCACAGTGTAGCGTAACTTTATGCTTGACTCAAGCAGAGAGTTACGCTTTAGTTTTACCAGTGCCCCACACACACACACACACACACACACACACACGGACTGTGAAGCCGGGAGGAAAATGTTTGTGCACTGGGTACACAGCGCCACGAGGCGGGTCAGGGCACGGTTGCTGACGCAGAAGGGGAATCTACTTTGACTAGATCCTTCCCAGTGCTGCAGAGAATCAAAGGGATTCGTACAGATACCTTCGCAGAGACCTACAGACTCGAGCAAACAAAATACGTCTCACAAACCATATTATCCCAGTGCAGGAACAAAAATAACATGAAGACTACTTGACAATAATTAAATTACGAGTGGTGTGCCCCACACTCTTAAAACCTTAAGAAGTATTTTGAGCATGCATATAACAAACTAATATACTTTGTTATACGAAGAAATAGTTTGTACGAAGTATTTTCTTCTTAAGCTTTATGTATGCTCAAAATACTTCGTTATACAAACTACTTTTCTTTGTAAGGCCCAAAATAGTTTGTAAGGTTTTCTCAGTGCAGTGAAGAAAGGGCGGTAGAAGAGCGTTGATACATGTTCGTTTTAAACCGTGATGAAAAGCGGGGGCAAAAAAGAATTCGGCAGGAAATTTGATGAACGATGATAACACGGGGTTCGCGTCTCCCCTCTCTGGGATTGTCTTCCACCTCGGATCCCTCTGCATTTCGGCATACAGGGCTGGCTTTTCATTTCCTTTGAGCGAAGCTAACACCAGCCCGCTCCACTGCAAAACCAAACAAGGCCGCGGGTCGAAACGGAGAAGGAAAACTTCTTGCTGCAGATTAATCAATTGATTCCGACAGTCGATTTCGTCACTCAGCCTCTGTCGCATTCATAGGGCGAGAGAGACACAGCGACGAAAACGACTCTCAAAATCAGTCCGCAGGGGACGTCTTGACGCAGCGTCACGTGTGGTTCTTCAGAGCACTGTGAGAAAAAAGTACGGAAAAAGTACGGAACATGTCCGGTCAATAATTTGCCTGGACCGTCCGTACTTGCCAACTACGGAACGTTCCGTACCCATTTCCATAGGTTTATATGGAGCAAGTACGTAATGTTCCGTACTTTTCTCCGTACCTCCGTACTATATTTTCTGTGCCATTTCCGTACAAAAGTACGGAATTTTTTACAGTGAGGTTAAGTTTCGGCTCCAACCGCTTACCGCGAAATCCTGCGAAGGAGAAGAGGATGTTTTAGACTTGCCGCCTCAATTAGTTAGTCGACTTGCTCGGCGCGCACGGGGCTCCCTTGTTTCAGAAATGTCAGGTACAGTATCGATCAATGGTTCGAGGTGGCGTACTGTACTAGCATCACAGGCGGACTTGTTCCTTGTCACCTTCTTCAGGTAAAACCACTGCGTAACAGTACTCTCTGTTTTCACACGTTGAAAACCATAAGAATTAGTATTTGCTAGGTATATGTGAGGTACTACATTGATCTGCTTTCGACTATTTAGTCTGAATTTTAAGAAAAAAAAAATTACAATGATGTCCAAGAAAGAATATAAGTCTTATTTTTGGCACTGATTTACAGTCAGTATTTTTTTACAAAAAAAAATTAAAACCAACACAGATGTGTTTCAAGTTGACAAGATTAAAGTTATAAACAGTGAAAAACCCACCCCCGTCGACTTCTCTCCAAAAAATATGCGAACAGTGCGCTGAGGAAGATGGCAGCCCAAGTATTCGCGCGCTTAGGCGAGTTATCGGGCGTGGTCCCTCGGGGTCTGAGAGAGAGAGAGAGAAGAGAGAGAAAGCGAGAGAGAGAGGAGCAAGGCGTGGTGAGGCTGCGCTCCTTACTCGGTCGCTCCGCACGGACAGCAAAGGGAACGGAGCGGGAGAAATTGGGCGGGAAGGGGAGGGGGGAGGGGCCGCGAAAAATGGCTCGGATGGCACTGGTGTCACGGAGCGTCGCCTTGCAGACTCTCTCTCTCTCTCTCTCCCCGCAGGGGCGGGCCGGACAGCTGGTATGTGCCTCTGCACCTGATATTACATCCCGCTTCCTTGACAAAGACGGTTAGGCAGTCGTCTGCTGGAAAGGGAGGCTGGCGCGTTTGCTCCTTCAGTCTTGACTTGTCCGGAAACGGCACCGAGAATCCAAACGCTATGAATAGGGGCCGTTCAAATGTGACGTCACGCTTTTTAGGCTCATTTTTTGACCCCTCCCCCCTATAGTCACAAATGGTCACTATTTTGACTCACCCCTCCCCTCCCCGTGACGTCACATTGTCCAAATCATTATTCTTGGCAACGGGAAGAGATACGCGACTACATCATCTTAATTAGGTGCCTTAATTGGAAATTTCTAACAATTTGATTGCATTTTGGAAAATCTGGTCGTATCTGGTCTAACGCTAACTTGTTCGGAAAAATCTGAGGAAAGTGCAGTTAAAATACCCAAGCCAGTGATAATTTAAGCTGAAGTAGGCGGGGATTGCTGATTTCAATTTATTTTTTAGTGGCTCACTCCATTCATATTTGGCAATTTTACACTTCTTAAAAGTGTGATGTCACAATGCCTTCATCCCCCTCTCCCCCATGTCACATTTGGTCACGATTTCTCTAGACCCCTCCCCCCCTTAAAAGTGTGACGTCATTTTTGAACGGCCCCATAGAGCGTAAATTGGTGCAATACAAAAGCATTGCACATGAAGTGCAATGCCTTTCCATTTCCGTGCATTAGCATAGGGCCTTTTCGGGATGCATTGCAATTGCTATACTCATAGCGTTTGGAATCTCATTGGGGCCAGCGACTAGTCGCCTGCACTGTGAACATTTTTCTTGTCAGTTGATGACAATTTCCAGGCTAATTTGCTTGGTAGACTGTGAAGGGAATCTTGTTGGCAACATTGTAGTCACGCTCATGGAATAAGTACAGGGACTTTAATATTTAATTAATTGTTGGTGAATTTGTCATCATATTTACGAGATGAACGCGCCGTTCTTGTTAATTTGTCGTAAAGTGATAGCAAATTTTTGACGGTGCAGGCACGGCGTGCGCGTCAAACTGAAACGGAACTCTCAGCGCCCCCAGGGGGTGCTGTAAGCTTAAAGCCCTTCCACCGGATGGAAACTCGATAGCTGCGCGCAACGCGATGGAATATGCAGAGCATGAAATTTCACTTTGGGTTGGCTAGGTGGTCCCGGCCTGGGACAGTTGTCTGAGCGAATAACGCGATCCCCCGTCGCGCATTCACTCTTGCCCGGTAGTTCACTGTTGTGAAACGAAGCGTGGAGAACTCCACACGTGTGCTAGTGTGGTCACTGACTTCAAACTCATTAAAACTTCCAGATCTTTTTTTTTTTCATTTGCAATAAGGAAACGAATTTGATTTTTTATCCAGCCTTATGATGTTTTTACCGTTTTCAGAGACCCTTCACTGTGCGAAAAAAACACAGTGAATCCCGTTAATTTTTTTGCCGGGATTTACTGTAGTTCAGAACACAGGATTTACCGTGCCTGGCTACAGTATCTACTGTACCTGGTACCAGATATTCCGTACTGCACTCCTGTGGTACAGTAAATCCCGTACAAAGTACAGTAGATCCTGTTATAAAAGTACAGTAAATCCTGTACTCTGAACTACAGTGACAGCTGTACTAATCACTACAGGATTTGCTGTGATTTTTTCCCACAGTGATTGGTGCGGTCACACGTTCGGTTCGAGTCCTGTTCAGCGACGCTGGAGCGCAAAACGCGTCCGGGATTTTGACCGCCTCCGCCGGTCCTCTGGCCCACTGTGCGGCTCACTCTAGGTGCGACGTCACACCATCTGCAGCCGCTGGCGACACGGCGGCGAGGACACCGCAAAAGGCGTAAGGGCGCGGCTTGACAAATTAAGTTAGGACAGGTGTGACCGCAAGGCGAGGGTGACGGAGCAGAGGGCGCCCGGCACGCCACGGCAGCGCCTGGAGGACGGAGGGGCGGGAAACAAGCTTCCTGCGCGAAACAACGGCATGATGAGCTCGCAGACAGACGACGGCTGTTTTACGTGTCAAGGAGGCAGGGGTGGAGGAGACGGAGGCAAGGGACACGGGTGGAAAAAAAATCACGACGGAAAAAAGGGGCCCAAAAAAACATGTCGGTTTGCGCAGGAGAAATATGTTAAAGAGGGCAAATACGCGGAAGCAAGGCCGTGCGAGGGAAAGGGGGCGCAACACAGTGGGCCAGAAGGCCGGTGGAGGCGGTCAAAACTCTCGACGCGTTTTGAGCTCCAGAGTCGCTAAACAGGACTCGAACCGAACGTGTGACCCCACCACTGGATTCTTCGTTCGGAGAGCAGTCCATTCGTGGCATCACACGTTCGGTCCGAGTCCTATTTAGCGACTCTGGAGCTCAAAACGCATCTAGAGTTTTGGCCGCCTCCACCGGCCTTCTGGCCCACTGTGCGCAAGAGATTTGCCTGGCCGGGAAATGCAAACGAGGATGCGGTTGGGGAAGCTCGGCGATGTGAAAGAATACGGGGAGGCAGCGGATTCGGGGGGATTTAAGGGCACAGGGCTGACATAATGGGAACACTAGACCGGCCGATTAAACGGGCCGTGCGCGATCCAATATGGCGCGCAGCTGCTGGCAGTGCGAGCATTGTTGTGGCCGGATGGGGGTTATTAACCGGCGAGAGCCATGCATAGCCAAGCAGCTTGTCGATGTAGGAGACGGAGAAAGGTGCACAGTGGGCCACGAAGACCGGTGAAGGAGGCCAAAATTGTAAACGCGTTTTGAGCTTCAGAGTTGCTGGATGGGACTCGAATCGAACCTGTGATCCCACCGTTGGATTGCTCTCCGAACGAGGTGGGGTCACACGCTCGGTTCGAGTCCCGGCCGCGACCACAAGCCGCCACAACCTTATGATTCCTGACACTATTTCAGAGATAAATTAGAGCCACAAGAGTCATTTTTGGTGAAAAAATGGAAGTATTTGATAACGCGCCGGAAGGGTTATCACCCAAAGCTCCTCCATCTCACCAGCACTCGACAGGAAGTCACTTTCACGCCAAATTGAATGTGTCAAAGATTATAAGGCACCGGTAATCTGTTTCTTCGACCCAAAGCAACATTCCATACGAATTTCAGACAACACTGCAAACCTAACTGTCTACTTAGTACACACTTACAGACGCATGCTTGCAAGTACACACTTACAAACGCATGCTTGACGCCGTATAACTCCATGCGTCAAGCATGCGTTTGTAAGTGTGTACTTGCAGGCATGCATTTGTAAGTGTGTACTTGCACTGAGAAAACCTTACAAACTATTTTGGGCCTTACAAAGAAAAGTAGTTTGTATAACAAAGTATTTTGAGCATACGTAAGCTTACAAAGAAAATACTTCGTAATTTACGAACTATTTCTTCGTATAACAAAGTATTTTAGTTTGTTATATGTATGTTCAAAATACTTCGTAAGGTTTTAAGAGTGTGCAAGCATGCATTTGTAAGTGTGTACTTGGCCAAGCATGCGTTTGCAAGTGTGTACTTGCAGGCATGCATTTGTAAGTGTGTACTTATTAGACAGTTAGGTTTGTAGTGAAACCGCAGAAAAACTGCACTGCTTTGAGCCTGCGCCGCGTAGGTAGGCAACCCACCGTCCACAGCTTCTCCAACCCAGCTAGCGTCACGGTAAAAGTCATTTTCACGCCAAATAGAATGCGTCAAAGGCCATTGGGCACCGGGCATCTGTTTCTTGGACCCATAGCAACGATCCATATGAATTTCAGACAAATCGGAGGTGGTCGACCATTTTCGTCGAAAAAATGTTAAGACATGGTTTTTTGAAGTTTTGGGCAAGGAATTTAAAACGGCTCAAATTCGAGCATGTTGTGCTGGAGGCCTCCCTCTTGCCTCCTGACACTATTTCGAGGGCCATTTCGGCCCTAAACGGTCTTTTTTATGGCGAAAAACTGAAATGCAACCGGCGGGGTAGGCATCATAGCCTCTCCACCGCACACCGCACCAGAGCGGAACTCAATTTTTTCTTTCACCACGTTGTTTCCGGCGTAAAATTTCTCTCTCCGCTTTTCAGTGGAATGAGTGTCTGCGGGCTCCCCCAGTCACCGGGAGGCGAAGCGCATGTGGAGGCCGTATTTAAGCCGCGAGGTCGTCGTGCACAATGGCAGACAGCGCGCGGCACGACACGCCACGGTATGGCAGGACACGCCATGGCACGGCAGGACACTGCACAGCGTGCCGTGGCATGGCACGGCAGGACTTGGCATTAACGTGCGCTAATGCTGTCCCCGCGGAACGTGCGACGGCGGGATGAACGGGGCCGGAGCGAGCCCAGTAACTTAAACGGAATAGGTTTTCAGCGCAGTTCGTCTCAAAATCTCTTCTTAATGTAGCACGCTGGGGTTAACGGCCACTACTGGCCTCACACGTTTAAAACCTCTGCGAAGCACTCTGAGCATGCTTAAGGCAAGATCTATGTCGTTTGTTGCACGAAAGAAATAGTTCGCAAATTACAAAGTATTTTCTTTTTAAGCTTATGGATGCTCAAACAACTTCGTTACAACGAGCTACTTCTGTTTGTATAGCCTTCAAAATAGTTTCTGCTTTATTGAGAGAGCTCTTTTTTTGTGTTTCAGCCAGTTCTCGTGATATACTGCATGCAGTTGATCCAGGCTGACCAGGATACTCCGCTCGCTAGTTTTAAGAATAGTACAAAAAATTGCAACGATCTTTGTACGGTTATAACCAATAAACACTGAGCAGTGCTCTCTGAATATCTGTTACTTTTTATTCGACCTCTGCGTAATAGGCGCATTCCTTCACCTAGAGCTCTGCAACAACCCTCTCATATCCAGTTTGCGTTTCATAAAGGCCTCACAAACCTCACGACGAAAGACCTATGCACCAAACATTGCACCCCAAAAAAGCCGTTTCTGAACCAACTGCCTTGCAAAAAGTGAAGTTTACTGTAAACATTCGGACAAATGCACTTTTTTGGCTGAGCGATAGCGAAGCCTGTTACTCCAGTGGGGTTGAAAAGTTTTTTCTGTCTGTCTGTCTGTGTGTCCGCACTACTCCTCCTGAACGGCTCGGCCGATCTCGGTGAGATTTTGCACACTTGTTGGGTATGTCCTTTGCTCGTCACACGCGAAATTTCACCATCCTAGCTCAACTGGTTCAGTTTTTATAGCCGAAAAACACCTAAAAAACGGCGAAAAATCGAGTTTTCTGGAGAAAGATCACTTCTGTGTTGGAGAAAGGGGGGTCTGGGGGGCGGAGCCCCCTAGCCCCGACAAGTTAAAAAGTGACAAGGGTCAAGATCGTGTTATCTGTAGATAAAACAACTCTATTTAGAATGTATGGGGTCTGGGGGGCGGAGCCCCCCAGCATCTAACAAGTTAAAAATTAACCGACAATGGACAAGCCGCCTGCCGCAGGCAGGCTAACGCCGCAGGCCAAGGTAGGTACGCCAGGCGTGGATTGGAGGAACAGGCAGCGAGAAATCGCGAAGCCTGTTACGACAAGACGCGGTCTGGCGTAAACCTACCTTGTTATTTATTAAGAGTATACAGGATGCCTGAAGAGCAGGGCTCTGAAGATGGCTGTATTTTGCGAGTAAATTTGGCAGGTACTCATGTCCAAAGGTAGCTGAAAAGAA